AGCGCGGGCCTCCGAAAGTGTATGTCACACATGTCTGTGTTGTTCGTATCACTCTTTTTCGCCATCTCCTCTGATCCTCTCCCTTCCTGCTGCCTGCTGCCTCTCGAGGAGGGGGTGATGATGCTGGGCCGGCCCAGCATGATGGCGACGACTTCCGGCAGCCCGGGATCAGCGCAAAGCGTTCATTCTCGGACGAGGTTGGGACGAGGAGAAGTCCGTTCCATAGCGTTCCGAAATGCTCTCAGAGCGTTCTGGAACGCTCTGAGAAGGCCGCGGCGCCCGAGACATCCTCCAGAGCCGCCAGATCTCAGAGATTCTCGATTTAGCCTCACCCGATGTTATCCTCGTCCTGGCTTCGTCTTACATTCGATGGGGGCCACATGCGAACCCTACCCCCACCCCTCACAATTTCTGAGGGGGAGGGTGGGGTTCACTTCGTTCGTTCGTTCGTTCGTTCATTTTAAGCTGATGCTTATTCAATTTTGTGTTGTTCTGCGCCTGTCCCCTCCCCACTCCTCCCTCAAGAGAGGAAAAAGACGACCCCCACACCCGACGTGTACTGAACAGCCGTTGGCGCTCATTAGATAGTCCTGCCCTGCTCGATTCCTTCCCATGTGCGTGTGCTACAGAGCTTCGCTTGCATGGTTGCTGATTCTCTAAATAGGCTTGCCCAAAGGAGTCCTAGCTCAAACCGTACAGAACTGGTCGCTGCCCCCCCTCCTCGGTTTTGCATCAGATTATGGCAAAGGCTCCCTCTGCTATTGCAAGGGCTTCCTCTGCTGTTGCAATGTTGTTGTGTGGCTTCTTCGATGGCGTCCCAACAATCGTCGAACTCAGACGTAGAGTGCATTAGAGTAGGGCAGAGCAGAGTAGAGTAGAGAAGAGAAGAGTAGATGAGGATATTATGGCAGAGTAGAGTCGAGCGGAGTGGAGTAGAGAAGAGTGGAGTAGTATAATGTAGTAGAGTCGAGACAATGGTAGGTATGGTAGAGTAGAGCAGAGTAATGCCGACCACTGTGCATGGTAGAGTCGAGTCGGGTGTAATGGAGTAGAGCCGGTTGAAGTAGAGCAGAGGAGAGGAGAAGAGAGGACAGTAGAGCAGAGCAGGAGTAGAATCGAGTAGAGTAGAGCAGGAGCAGAGTATGGCAGAGTAGAGCAGAATAGGTTAGGGTAGGGTAGGGTAGAGTAGGCCAGGGTAGGGTAGGGTAGAGTAGAGCAGAGTAATGTAAAACAGAGCAGAGCAGAGTAGAGTATAGTGGAGTAGAGGACAGTGTATGAGTAGTACAGAGCATACTCCAAGAGCATGGATAAAGTGGAGTAGGTGTCGAGTATAACAGAGTGGAGTGGAGTAGAGTAGAGTAGAGTAGATGAGAGTAGAGTCGGTTAGGATAGGGCTGGGCACCCACAGGTTGACCGTCAGTCCTTCCCTCCCGGTGAGGGGCAGTCCTCGCTCGTGGCCAAAACGCCGACAGCCGCCGACGGGCCTTCGACGCTCGAGCACCCCCAGCCCAGTGCTGGGGGCGAGGTGGGCGAGCGCGAGCCGAGCGCAGAGAACCCCTTATTGGAAGGGACCTCTCGAGCTTTCGTCAGGCCTTTGCAGTGTCCACAAGAGCAGGAGCGCGGCTGAGCACAGGAGGACGCGCAGGCAGCTGCGGAGCTCGGACATGCAGAGGCAAGGTGCGGAGGACGCTACAGAGCCCTAGGAGAGCAGGGCATTGACAGCGCGAGCACCAAATCTGGCTCACGCTTAGAGGTCCTCACCTCCACTGGTGCCCTCTCCGTTGGCGGTGCCGTCAGGGTCGCCCTCGGCTCGGTGCGCTAGGCGACGCGCTTCCTGGCCCACGTCTGAGATCCCTCAGCGCCGTCAGGCGAAACCCCGTACCCGCTGAGCGCGGCCTATGGCGAGAGGTCCTGCTTCGTAGGCGTCGTAGCCGATGGGTTGGATCCTGCTGCCGATGCTTTCCCTGCTGCGGTGGCCGCTGGCACTGCAGGGGAGGCCGCTGCGGCAGCTGTCTCCCTCCTCTCGCCGTCGAGGCCGCAGAGGGCGTCCTGCCAGACCTGGCTCGGCGTCTCGTGCTCCCCGAGCCTCCAGGTCCTCTGGGCGGTGGGCCGGGCGTCTGGCCAGATTCTCGTGGTGAACGCGCCCTTCTTGGACTTGATGGCCGCGCTGCCGCGGTCGCCACACCGCTTGAGGAGGCTGGACCTCGCAAGCCTGATGTGGCCGTGGCTGCAGCACCTCTGGCAGACGAGCCCGTTGTCGGGCTTGTGGGCAGGCTGTCCAGGCCCGGCGATGATGCGCCGCTGCACCAGCACGTGGTTCTTGAAGCTCCAGGGGCTGACGCCGTCCTCGCTGCTGGCGGCTGGCGTGGGTAGCGGCCGATGCCGCCGTCGCCGAGCCGGCCCACACGCGGCCTGCCTTGGGGCGCCTCGCCGTCCAGGGTGCCTGCATGCCCAGTTGCGGCGACCGCCGCTGCCGCTGCCGCCACTGCAGCCGCCGCCGCCGCTGCTGGTGTCGCCCTGGTAGCTGCACTACCCGTCGTAAGTGCAACCTCCGTCTCGCCGAACTGCATGTCGCCTGGCATCTCCAGGATGATGTCTGCCGCGTGGTCCCTGATCGTGTGGGCCCCAATCTGCGTGGCGCCTCCGCCCCCCCCCCCCCTTGTGCCCTGCGCTGGGTCGGCCAGCCGCACTGTTGCCTGGCAGCCGGCCTGCTCCGCCACCAGCCGCCTGGGCCCCTCGCAGTTGCCGCAGCGCTGGGGCACTTCTCCTGGCCGCCGCCGGCTCCCGCGCCGGTGGCTGCTCCCGATCCTCGACCTGCTGGGCCCTGCCCGCACCGTGGCTGCTGGCCCGTCCTCTGGGTGGCATGCGACGCCGTCCCGCAGTCGCTGCCAGGGGGAGGAGGAGGAGCAGAAGGAGCAGGAGGAGGGGTGCGCCACGGGGCGGGGCGGCGAGGGGGCGGACCTGCCGGGCACGGCCGGCGAGCTTGGCCATCCCGGCGCGCACTTCCCTCCGCAGGCACATCCGGGCAGCCCACCCTGCTCCCGCACACGGAGGACGCCTCCAGGAGCGCGGGCCGCCGCAAGCGGGCTTCCGACGCGCCCGCCCTTCACTCCGCGAGGAGGAGGAGGAGCAGGAGGAGGAGGAGGAGGAGGAGGAGGAGGAAGATAAGTAGTCCAGAGTTGCGAGTTCGCAGATCTGAACTCAGGATCCGGGCGCTCGCGAGTTCATTGGTCTCAACTCGTGGTTCTCCTGGTTCGTCGTCGTCCTCCTCTTCCCCCTCCTGAGGTAGCCAGATGTAGCCGGGTAGGCAGGCAAACGACGGCGGGGAGGAGAGTGAGGAGCGAGGAGCAAGAAGGAACGGGGAGGGAAACAGGAGACGGGAGAAAGGAGGAAAGAGGCTGGAGGGATGAAGGAGGGTTATGTAATACATGAGGGATGAGGGGGGAGGAGGGATTAGAGGAAGGAGAAGGTCGGTCCGACTCGGCATTGCAGCCGTCTGCGCGCCGTCATGCTGAAGGCTCCCACCCTGAGAACCAACGGGGGTGCACTAGCAGCCACCGCCACCCTCCCCGACGAAGCGAGGCCCAGCGCTGAGCCCCAGGCAGACCAACGCGAAGAATCGAGAGGGCGGCGGACGGCGCGACGCGCTAGAAACGGCAGTGCGGAAAACAAAGGAAACTTGCCGCCGGCTTGGCGACGAGGAGAAGAGAAGTGCACGCGACCGAGCGTGACGTGAGGGGGGGGGCATTGGAAGATTCACCACCTCCCTACTAGACAGCCCTCGGCATCCCACCACGCCTCAGTGTGCCAGCGGGGCACAGTGGCGGACACTTCATCTGTAGGATTGGTCTTTGACCGCAGCAGCAGCAGCAGCAGCAGCAGCAGCAGCAGCAGCAGCAGCAGCAGCAGCAACCCCAGGGGCCCCTTCTGAGCGCACTCGGCCGCCGCATGGGCCGCCGAACGGGCTCAATCCCGAGAGGGTGGTGCGAAGCTGGCCCGCTCGGCGGCCGAGTGGGCCCCATCCCGTGTCCTCTCGGCGGCCGGAACCGGCTCGGCCGGGCCGCCGAGCTGGCTCGGGAGGGGGCCCCTGGGGAGAGCAGGAGACTCCTCGCGCGCGGGGCGTGCGTCGCCTTCGCGGTCCTGGAGGCCGAGTTCCCGGGCGCGGTGCTGGAGCTCCGGCGCTCCGCGAGGCTGGCCTTCCGCGCGGGGCGACACCGGCTGCCGAGCGGGCTGGAGGCGGGGGATGGCACCTCCCAACGCCTCGTCGTCGTCGTCGTCGTCGTCGTCGTCGTCGTCCCTCTCTGCCTGCCTGTCTACATTCGTCTTTCCTAACCATCATGTGGTGTGGGGTCGTTGTTTTGAATAGAGATCCCCGCGACTCCTCTCTCCTCTCTCCTCCTCCTCCTCCTCCTCCTCCTCCTCCTCTTCCTCCTCTTCCTCCTCCTCCTCCTCCTCCTCCTCCTCTTCCTCCTCTTCCTCCTCCTTCTCCTCCACTTTAGCTGTGTCTTGGTCTGAGATGTCTACATATCTTGGACCGCTGTTACGGCTGACTCTTTATGGCTCACACGCTGAACGGTATGCACCGCCTCGGCTTCGAGCCCTGGATTCGGACGTGCTCGTCGCCTGCTTCGACCAGGCACCGTCCCTGCGGCCGCCACCGTGCCTCCTCCTCCTCCTCCTCCTCCTGCGTCTGTTTTTTCAGTTTTCTGGGGGGCGGTCGCAAACCCCACACCCCCCTCCGTTGATGCTGCCTTCCTTCTCCTCTTCTCGCCTTCGTCCTTGTGTCCTTCTCGCTCTGTTGCTTCCTTGCTGGGGTGTTGGCTAATTCGGGGAGATCGGGCGTCTCGGGGACCTGCCTGTTGCCCGCCGCACTGTGGGCGTCGGCCCTTGCGGGACCCGAGGGGCATTACACCCCGCTCGCGCGATTCAAACGTTTGCGACCTGTCCCCTAACCTCACGGTATTAGGGGCTGTACGGTGCGCTTCGCCCCGATCTCGTTCGATGCGACCATGATCGAAGATCTGTGGGAGGTACCTCGTTTGGTGTTGCAGCATACCGCAGCAGGTGAGTAGCATTTGGTACACAGACATGCAGCGCAGCGCCGAGTCTCTCTCTCTCTCTTCTCCTCCTCCTCCTCCTCCTCCTCCTCCTCCTCCTCCTCCTCCTCCTCCTCCTCCTCTTGTTCCTCCTCCCCCGTAGCCATTGTGGCACAAGACGGCTAGCTCGTTTTTGCTTGTTTGCTTGGTGTTGGCTCGAGCATTCGCTTGTTTGTCCAGATGGACGCCGTATATACTTCCTTGACATGTCTTACTGGCCGCACGCTGAGGCTTCTCGCTAAATTCTCTGATGCTCACTGCTCCGGCGCCTTCAGATGGCTGCTCATGGGCAGCGGCGGGCGCTGACCACTGCTACTCGGAGACGCGTGCGACATCTTGCGATTGCTGCGCAGGTCCTGCGGCATTACACTGACCCCTGGGCGGACGAGGTTCTGACCGAACTTGAACGTGAACTTCGAAGCGCTTATCCTCATGGCCCAGTCCCGATTCGTGCTCGGCGCTATCTTGTGCCTCGCGGCGCGCGGTCGCTCAACGGCGAGGCGCCGGTCTTCGTTCTGGCTGCGCCGGCGGCAACCAGTACGTCATTTAGTGCGGCTCCGCTGCAAGTCCCTGTGGTTTCTGTCCCTTGTCTTCTTGCGGATGCTCAGCGTTCTTACGATTCCCAGCTCGGGGCTTATCAGGGGCTGGTGGAATCACAAAACCAAGCTATAAGCAATCTGCAAGGGATTCTTGAGAAAGCAGAAGCGCTGTAGCTGGTATCACGGACCTCTGGGAAATCTGCTTCGGCTGGGGAAGCCGACGTTGTCGAGTCTAGTGAGTACGTGTCGTCGTCGTCGTCGTCGTCTTCGGGGTCGCCAGAGTTTGTCACCGTTGAGGAGCTGCGGAGGACGGTCGAGGATCTCAGAAAGAGCGCGTCCTGTGGTCGCTTGGAGGGGGGGGGTTGGAACCAGACCACTCCCCTCCTCCCCTGGATGGAGGGGGGCGGGGTTCGAATCCCCCCCTCCCGTGACGGAGGGGGGGGTGTTCGAACCCGCCCCCCACCCCCCCGTCCTCCCCTAGTTCTCCTCTCTCCCTCTTCTTGGGCCGGCGCCTGCGTCGGCGGCGGCTGGCGGCGGCGACGGGGACGATGATCTCCTTTTCTGGGCCAGCGCCAGCGCCCGCGGCGGCCGGCGGCGGCGGCGGGGAGCGTCGACGAGGACGACGGTGGTGGTGGGTGGTGGTGGGTTGTGGTGGGGGTGGTGGTGGCGGTGGTGGTGGTTGTGGTGGTGGTGTGGTGGTTTGTTGTGGTGGTGGTGGTGCTGCTGCTGCTGCTGGTGGGTTGTGGTGGTGGTGGTGGTGGTGGGTTGTGGAGGTGGTGGTGGTGGTGGGTTGAGGTGGTGTGGTGGTGGTTTGTTGTGGTGGTGGTGGTGGTGGTGGTGGTGGTGTTGGTGTTGGTGGTGGTGGTGGTGGTGGGTTGTGGTGGTGGTGGTTTGGTGGTGGTGTGGTGGTGGTTTGTGGTGGTGGTTTGTGGTGGTGGTGGTGGGTTGTGGTGGTGGGGGTGGTTTGTGGAGGTGGTGCTGGTGGCGGTCGTCGTCGCTGTGTCCCCGCCGTCGGCGCTGTTGGCCGCTGCCAGCGCCGGCGCCGTCGCCGGCTCCACGGGGGGGAGGGCGGTGGTTTTGACCCCCCCCCCCTTGAGCTGCCTTTGATCATCGTCGCTGCGTCCCCGCTGCTGGCGGCCGCCAGCGCCGGCGCCTGCGCCGGCGCTGAGGGGGGGCGGGGAGGCGGGGGGAGTTGAACCCCCCCCTTGTGCTGCCTCTGGTCATCGTTCAGAGCCCTGAATCATCAGGGGTAACTCGGGTCAGGGTTAACTCAGGTTCGTTTTTCGGGAATCCGAACCCGAGTTGCACCGGGCCCGAGTTACCCTGGATAACTCGGGCGTCCAGAGCCCCAAATCATCAGGGATAACTCGTGTCAGGGCTAACTCGGGTTCCTTTTTCGGGAATCCAAACCCGAGTTACCCCGGACCCGAGTTACACCGGATAGCTCGGGCGCCCAAATCGTCGCTGCGCCCCCGTCGTCGGCGCTGCTGGCGGCCTCCAGCGTCGGCGCCGGCGCCGGCGCCGAGGAGGGGGCGGGCGGGGGGGGTGTTCGGGAGGGGGGGGGGGTTGGGGGGGAGGGAGTCCCCTTGGTTTTGATCGAAGGCACCGAGTGTTGGGGGGTGCCCCCCCCCCGGATCGAAACGCGCCGCCGAATGTTCCCAAGGCAAGCGCCCGTGAAACGCGCGTGCTCCTATCAAAACCGCGATCCCATCGCCAGCGACGGTTTTCCCTTTGGTCAAAAACGTGCTGTTTGAAGCGGTGCCCGCGGCTGTCGGGCAGGCTGTCCCATCTATCGTCACGGGATCTGTCGTGCAGGTTGCCAGCCCGTTTTTCGAAAAAGTCTCCAAGCTCGCCGAGGCACTTGGGCGCCATGGACGAAAGGCTGTCGAAGTTGGAAGCTGCGGAGCGGGCTGGGCGGCCCGAGGCGTTCCCAGCATAATCTGACGCTGACAAGTTCTCGCTGCTGGAGGGCCGCATTGCGGAACTGACAGTTCTGATTTCGAGGGGTGCATCGGCATCCCCATCGGGCGTTCGGCCTCGTTCTTTTCAAGCTGCTCGTGGTCGCTCTCCTGGCGTGGCGGGAGCGGATCGGCATGGTACACTTGTGACTGAACAGCTACCGCCAGCCCCTCCACAATCACGAGTGTGCCGGTACGGGCGACGGTGTTTCAGGCGGGATTGCGTTTTCATCCACCCTGATGGCCGCATCGCTGAGCAGGAGGTTCAGGGGCGCTCGGATGGCACCGCGGTGGCGTCGAGCGGTCCGCCGTGGATGGTGCCGACTGCTCGCCCGACCGATTATGGAAGATTCGAACACGTAGCGGCGATGATCGCGATGGTCGAGATCGAGGAGTTCCATGGGCAGCTTCTGGCCACAGCTTTTGAGAACTTTGTTCTGCCGACTCCCGAACGCGACATTGATAGATTGATATTGTCATTTTGCTCACTGTCGTTCGGTCTCTGTCCCACGCCCTACCTGTACCTTGTAATGTTCGTCTCCCTTCTCGTGTTCTTCACTGACTGGTTTCTGACCTTCCCTAGAAGGTGTGCGCGGTATGGAAGACGCATGTCGGCCACGTTCCACCTCCTCTTCTTCCTCCCTCCTCCTCCTCCTCCTCCTCCTCCTCTTCCTCCTCTTCCTCCTCCTACTCCTCCTCCTCCTCCTCCTCCTCCTCCTCCTCCTCCCTCCTCTCCTCCTCCTCCTCCTCCTCCTCCCTCCTCCTCCTCCTCCTCTCCTCCTCCTCCTCCTCCTCCTCTCCTCCTCCTCCTCCTCCTCCTCTCCTCCCTTCCTCCTCTCCTCCTCCTACTCTCCTTGTCCTCCTCCTCTACTTCCTCTTCTTCTTTCTCCTCCTCCTCCTCCTCATCCTCCTCTTCCTCCTCCTCCTCCTCCTCCTCCTCCTCCTCCTCCACCTCTTCCCGTCACTCCCCTGACTTTTACACCCCTCACACGCTTCGTGGCCCCACAGGCACCGAAGGCCCAAATGCCAGCGCTCGCTTTCGGCCACCGCACCCATTTTGGTAAACCCATCACAAACTTCGTGGCCCCATAGGGAGTTCCACCGAAAGCCCAGCTTCCAGCGCTCGCATGCGCCCGTCGCTCTCCTTTGCGGCACGCCCCTCACACGTCTCGTGGTCCGATAAGGAGCCCCACCGAAGGCCTACATTCCTGCGCTCGTATGCGCCCACCGCGTTCATGTTGGCACAGCCATCACGTGTTTCGTGGCTTCACAGAGAGCTCTGCCGAAGGTCCACATGCCAGCGCTCGCATGCGCCCACTGTGCCTATCTTGGCACACCTGTCGCGCACTTCGTGGCCTAATAATCAGCCCCACCCCGAAGGCTCAAATCGCAGTGCTCGTACCCGCCCACCGCACCTAATTTGGCACACCCCTCACTCGCTTCATGGTCTCATAAGGGGGCCCCGCCGAAGGCCCAGACGCCAGCGCTCGCATGCGCCCGCCGCGCCCCTTTTGGCACACCCCTCGCACGCTTTCTGGCCCCATAGGGAGCTTCGCCGAAGGCCCAGATGCCAGCGCTCGCATGCGCCCACCGCACCCATTGTGGCACACCCCTCACACGCTTGGTGTCCCCTTAGGGAGCTCCACCGAAGGCCAAGATGCCAGCGCTCGCATGCGCCCGCGGCACCTATTTTGTCACACACCTCAACATTTGCGTGGCCCCATCGGGAACCCCACCGAATGCCCAGGTGCCAGCGTTCGCATACGCCCACCGCGCCCACGTTGGCACACCCCGCCCACATTTCATGGCGCCATAAAGGGGGCTCCACCGAAGGCCCATATGCCAGCGCTCGCATGCGCCCACCGCACTCATTTTGGCGCACGCACACACACATATACACACACACACACGCACGCACGCACACGCACACACGCACACACACACACACACACACACACACACACACACACACACACACACACACACACACACACACACACACACACACACACACACACACACACACACACACACACACACACACACACACACACACACACACACACACACACACACACACACACACACACACACACACACACACACACACACACACACACACACACACACACACACACACACACACACACACACACACACACACACACACACACACACACACACACACACACACACACACACACACACACACACACACACACACACACACACACACACACACACACACACACACACACACACACACACACACACACACACACACACACACTTCACACGTTTCGTTGCCCCATCGGGAACTCCACCTAAGGCCCAGATTCCAGCGGTCGCATGCGCCCACCGCATCCCTTTGGTACGCCCTTCACACGCTACACGCTTCGTGGCCCCGTAGACGGAAGCTCAATCGAATGCCCAGGCGCCAGCGGTCGCATGCGCCCACCGCGCCCATTTTGGCACACCCTGCACACGCTTCGTGGCCCCATAGGGAGCTCCACCGAATGCCCGCTTGCCAGCGCTCGCAGTCGTTCACCGCACCCAGGTGGCGCACCCTTCACTTGCTTCGTGCCTCATGGGGAGCCCCGCAACAAAACCCAAATGCCAGCGCTCGCATGCGCCCACCGCGCCCACGTGGTGGTTACAGCGACGGTATTCGCAACTGCATATGGTTGGGTCCTTCGCCAGCCTAATTTCCAACCGTCCTGTGGTGCTGGGTCTTCGCTTTGAAGAGACGGTCCCCGCGTTCCTCCTCTCCTCTCCTCGCCTCTCCTCCGCTTCCCGCTCCTCCCTCCTCTCACCCTTGCGTCTGTCCTCCCCGCGTCAACCAGTTTGGCACTCCCGTCACCCCTCTCATTGTGGCACACCCTTCACACGCTTCGTGGCCGCACAGGGAGCTCAACCGAAGGCCCAGATGCCAGCGCTCGCATTCGGCCACCGCACCCATTTGGAACACCCCCTGCACGCTTCGTGGACCCATGGGGAACGCCACCGAAGGCCCAAATGCCAGCGCCCGCATGCGGCCACCGCACCCATTTTGGCACACCCCTCACACGTCCGTGGCCTCATAAGGAGCTCCACCGGAGGCCCAAATGTCAGCGCTCGCATCCGCCCACCGCACTCATTTTGGCACACCCCTCACACGCTTCGTGGTCACATAGCGAACTCCACCGAAGGCCCAAATTCCGAAAGCGCGCCACTGGGGGACCCTGTAATTGAAAAGGAGGGGTGTCCTCGCAGAACCCCGCCCCCCTTTAAAGGGGGGGGAGATTTTCGACCCCCCCCCTCCCCCTTCAAACGGGGAGGGGGGGTCCGACCCCCCCTCTCCCCCCACCCCTCTAAAGGGGTGGGGGGTCCAGACCCACCCCCCTCCCTCCCTTGGCGCTGGAAGGGGGAGCGGTGGGGTTCGGACCCCCCTCCCTCCCCCCCCCCCCTTTTGCGCCGAACAGGGGGCCGGGGAGGGGACCTCTCCCGCTTCTCCGTTTTGCGCCGGAGAAGGTGGGTAGGGAGTACGAAGCTGGGAGCAGTGAGTAGTGAGTAGTGAGTAGTGTGCAGTGAATTGTGCGTAGTGAGCAGTGGATAGTGGGTAGTCGGTAGTGAGCAGCGAGTAGGGCGTTGGGAGTAGGGAGTGGAGAGTAGTGGGTAGTAAATAGTGAGTGGTGAGTACTGATTAGTGAGTAGTGAGTAGCGAGTAGTGAGTAGTGAGTAATGGGTAGTGAGTATTGAGTAGGGAGTAGGGAGTAGTGAGTAGTGAGTGGGCAGTGAGTAGTGGGTAGTGAGTAGTGCGTAGTGAGTAGTGGGTACAGTCGACCCGCAGAGTTAAGGATAGGCATCCTTCCCAAGGGTATCCTTGCATCCTTGCGCGCCCCGCTCGAAACGCTTCGAATTGGGCCTCCAAGGCCCTTGCATCCGTATCGCGCATCCTTGCTGAGAGGGTTGATTGTAGTGCATAGTGAGTAGTGAGTAGTAAGTAGAGTAGTGAGTAGTGAGTAGAGAGTAGACAGTACGGAGTAGGGAGTAGTGACTAGTGACCAGACTAGTGCGCAGTGCGCAGTGAGTAGGAGTAGCGAGTTGTGACTAGCGGGTAGTGGGTAGTTAGTAGGGAGTAGCGAGTAGGGAGTAGTGGGTAGTGAGTAGTGGGTAGCGAGTAGGGAGTTGTGGGTAGCCAGTAGTGAGGAGGGAGCAGTCAGTAGTTAGTAGGGAGTAGGGAGCAGTGAGTAGCGAGTAGGGAGTAGCGAGTAGTGAGTAGTGAGGAGCTGGTAGGGGGTAGTGAGGAGTGAGTAGTGAGAAGGAAGAAGTGGGTAGCGAGTAGTGGGTAGTGGGTAGTGAGTAGCGAGTAGAGAATAGTGAGTAGTGAGTGGTGAGTCGGGAGTAGTGAATAGTGAATAGTGAGTAGCGAGTAGTGGGTAGTGAGTAGTGACTAGTTACTAGTGACTAGTGAGTAGGGAATAGGGAGTAGTTAGTTGTGAGTACTGAGTAGTGAGTAGTGGGCAGTGAATAGAGCGTATTGGGTAGGGAGTAGGGAGTTACGAGTAGTGAGTAGTGAGTGTAGGGAGTAGCGAGTATTGGATAGTGAGAGTGAGTTGTGGGCAGTGAGTAATGAGTAGTGAATTGTACGTAGCGAGTCGTGAGTAGTCCATTGTGGTTCGTGGGTAGTGTGTAGTGAGTAGTGGGTAGTGAGTAGTGGGTCGTGAGTTGTGTTTAATGAGTAGGACGTATTTTTTATAGTGGGTAGCTAGTAGGGAGTAGAGAGTAGTGAATAGTGTGTAGCGGGCAGTGAGTAGTGGTTAGTGAGTAGTGAGTAGTGAGTACTGAGCTTGGGAAGTGAGTAGTGAGTAGTGCGTAATGAGTACTGAAAACTGTTTGGGGCTAGGGTTAGGGCTTGGGGTTAGGTTATAGGGTAAGGGTGAGGATTAGTGTTAGGGCTGGTAGGGGTCGGGTTCCAGAGTCAGGGGGCGCCGTGGCGAAAGGCGGGGAAGGAGGGGGGGGGTCGAATTTGGCGGCCAAAGGGGGGGAGGGGGGGGGTCGGACCCCCCCCCTTTTGAAAAGGGGAGGGGGTGGGGGGTTCCCCGACGACGGACCGGGAAGGGAGGGGACGGGGGGGGGTCCCCGACCACGGACCGAGAAACGGGGGGAGGGGGGGGGTCCCCGACGACGGATCGGGGAAAGGGGAGGGGGAGGGGTTCCCAACCCCCCCACCCCTGGGGACATCCAGCGGCGCGCCCTCCCAAATTCCAGCGTTCGCATGCGCCCACCGCACCCATTTTCGCACACCCCGCACACGCTTCATGGGGCCATAGGGAGCTCCACCGAAGGCCCAAATGCCAGCGCGCGCATCCGCCCACCGCACCCATCTTGGCACACACACACACACACACACACGCACACCCCTCACACGTTTCGTGGCCCCATAGCGAGTTTCACCGAAGGCCCGCATGTCAGCTACAGACGCCCACCGCACCCACTTTGGCACACGTTTCGTACGTTTAGTGGACCCACAGTGAGGTCCACCGAATGCGGTGCATACAACGACGGTGCCCACAACTGCATATGGTTGGGTCTTTCGCCCGGCTACTTGTCAGCAGCGCCCATACCCCAGAGAATTCGTCGGAGTCAATTTTGAGTTTAAGATTCTATGCAGCCATACTCGACGACAGGTTGCAGGAGTGAGCGAGACACCATGTTCCAGCACCGCTGCGAAGAAAAATAATGGACACAAAGACATCGCGCGAAGCCTCCTGCTCGCCTCCCCCCTTCCCTTCTCCCCTCCCACAGGAGGGAGGAGTAAGAAGGCTTCCGTCCTCTTTTTTGTTGCTCTCTCTCTCTCACTCTCTCTCTCTCTCTCTCTCTCTTTCAGTGCGCTCGAATCCGGATTTCGAGACGAAGATCCAGTCGTGACCACGAGAGGCCGTCCCTGACGCGCAACAACGACAAGCATCCGAAGGCGAGGGCCTCGGACTTCGTACCCGATCCTGACACTGCCGGTTCCCTCTCTCTCTCTCTCTGATTTTGCCTCTTTTCCCCCCTCTGCCTCAGAGAGGTGGGCAGCAGCTCGTCGACTCCAGACGACCCGGGGTTCCAGAGGCTGCTGTGTGCGCGGACCAGCCCGCTGGCGGCGTACCAGGTCGACGACGTCGAAAAAGAGGGAGGAGGGCCTTAGGATCCAGAGTCGAGGAATCCTGTTTCTTGCATGCCTTGATTGTTTTGCCAATGCCGCTGGAGAAGTTTGGGGGCTGCTCAAGAGGGGAGAGGAGGAAGAGGAGGGGAGGACGGAAGAAGAGGAGGACGAAGAGGAGGAACGGGAGGAGGAGGAGAAAGAGGAGGGGGAGGTGCACGAGGTGGAGGGGGACCTTCCCCCAAATCGCGTCGTGAATGTGTTGTTACGGGAGGTTCTTCTTGTTTGCGGTTTGACATTTCTGGCATCTCGGGGCCCTTCTAAAAGGGTCCTTGGGGACCGTCGACGGACGGCTCGAGATGACATGACTGTCCCAGGGCCATTCACGAGGAACCTTTCGGCAAGAATGCAGAAGGCTTGCGCGACGGACGAACGACGAACGACGGATCGGGACGATACGATGAAGGCAAGGGAGGGAGGGAGGGAGGGACACCAGAGACACACCTCGCGCTGTCGTCCTGGGCCATGAGATCTACCAGATTTCACGGCCCCGTACTTGCCCCTTCAATGTACCCTTGGGTCCTCTTTCGCCCGCACACATGCCTCGCGTCATGATGCGCTGCCACCCCCCTCATCCCGGCCCCCCTCTTCCGCGCACCCGAAAGCACAGGTCGAGAAGGCGCCCGATGCCATCTACGCCCATGCCCTGTTTGCGCTCAAGGATGCCAACCTGGGCATGCTGGAGGCCGACTCCGCTCAGGCGCTCGCCCTGTTGCTGGAGTCTGCGAGGCCGAGGGGTCCAAAGCGTGCTCTCACTGCACCCCTCCTCCATCCTCTTCCTTCCTCCGTCATCCGTCCTCCATCTTTCTGCTGTTCCGTCCCTCCTATCTGCGTCATGCGTCTTCCGCAACCAGGACCATCGTGTGGCCCTCTTGGGGCCGCCTTGGGCAGTTATGGCGGCATCTTGGGGTCCTCTTGGGTTCTCTTCGGCTCCTCCGAGGCCCCCCTTGTGGAGCCCAACATTGAAAGAACCGTTGGTGTCGAACAAAGTTTGGCTCCATGCGGCCTCGCTGGGAAGCCTCCGGGCGTTTTTAGGAGTTGTCCTCGTGCGCCATCTTTCCAGCGGTGCTCTTGCTGCAGCCCCTGAGCTGCATCTTTACCTCCTGACCGCCACTGGCCCGCGCGCGAGGCCCGACGGGGGCGCGCAGGAGGCCTGGAAGTTCTGGGAACGCTCAGTGGGCGCGCCCACGAGGGCCAGGGGGGAGGAGGAAGAGGAGGAGGAGGAGGAGGAGGAGGAGGGGGAGAAGGAGGAGGAGGAGGAGGAGGAGGAGGAGGAGGAGGAGGAGGAGGAGGAGGAGAGGAGCAGGAGAACCAGGATGGGGGAGGCCAAGGAAGAGGAGAGGGCTCAGTCGGCGGGGTGGAAGCATGACGATGTTCCCCTCTGGCGGCTCGAGGCGGCGCCACCCCCCCTCCCTCGCGCACCTCATCCAAAGTCCGCCTGCTCCTGCAGCGTCGCCCCCCTCCTCAGGGCACTCGGCTCGCTTTGCTTTGCTTGTCCAGCTTCGCCCAAGAGTGACGCATGGTGCTCCATCAACGGCGCTCGAGGGCAGGGCAGCAGAGTCTCCCCCACAGAGTGACACCGGGTGTGGGGGCTCAAGATAGGCGTGCGTGGATGCTACCTGAAAGACTGGCAGCACGACTTTGCCACAGTCGCTCCCCTTTGTTACCACGATTCACTCTCTCTCTCTCTCTCCATCAATTTCACTCTGCTACTTTCACTCCTGCTCTCGCGTTTTTGTCTGCTGCCTCTGTCTTCTTTGGGCCTCTATCTGTATCTCTCTCTCTCGATCCCTCTCTCCCTCTCTCTCTCTCTTTCTTTCTGTCGTTGTTCTCCCAACCCCTGACCAGTGCGAACAGCTTCAATGTCAGGTGTCCTTTGGTTTTCTTTTTGGTTTGCCCGTCTACTCGCACATGATCGCGCAACTTGCCATGACATGATATTCGGCTGCACGGCATTACTGTGCTAGTTGTTGGATGTATGGCCCTGCTCCCACGATGTTTCTATATTGGCATCTTCTCGGCGGATTGCCCGCTGTTCCTCGTTTTTTTCGCCAGCTGATCCCCCGTTGCGCTGTATTGCGGTGCTTTACATTGATTTGGTATGAATGACTCATGTGTTTGTCGAGTTGTGCTGTTTATGCTTCTCTATTGTCATGTCTGACCGCTCCGCTCCCGCTCGGACTACCACTTCCCCGCGTTCTGGTCGCTGGACAGATCCATTCGGATTCCAATTGCCATGCCAAGTCGGATGCCGTGCATGCGCTGTGCGCACATACATGGTGTGAGAGGATAGATGGGGCATTTCAGAAAGGGCCTCGCCTTCGAGGATCGCCGGAGTTGCCGTCTCCTTCCCGGCGGAACGGAGGGCAGCAGAAGGTTGGCGAAGGGCGGCGGAATGAAAACGAGGTCGGCCCCGCCGCCGGAAGCCGGAAGAAGCGGGCGGAAGTAAGAATTTGCCTTTCGTGAGAACATGTTTGGGGGGTTCAGGGTTTCCAGAACCCGCCACATATATACCAGCGTTGATTCCGATTTGGAAGTCGCAAAACCGCACGCACACGTCTGCAAGGAAGCGGTGTTATGCAATATCTCACATGACCCTGTGGTGGTATCTTATCCGTAAGGGCTTCGCCCCCTGCCGCCGGCCCCCTCTCTCGGAGAATGGGCCATGGAAGAGCTAAGTCATGAGGCCTTGGCGCTGTCGTGAAGCAGTATCGAAACTTCATGCGAAGCCGATTCGCAATCAGCAAAACCAACTGATCACAAGAGGGGTTACCACACCTGGCGATTGGTAAGACGTGTATGGTTTACGGGCTTGGTTACCACACCTTGCGATTAAAGGGCCGAGGGAGTTCTCGCAGTTTGGGTTACCACGCCTTGCGATGGATGTGCGTGAAGGGCCCTGTGTTTTTGGACCCTGACCCCGCGGATCTGCGTGAGGGGTGGCACCGAATTTCAGAAATGTGGCAAATCCCTGTGTTTTTGGACCCTGACCCCGCGGATCTGCGTGAGGGGTGGCACCGAATTTCAGAAATGTGGCAAATCCCATGTGTTTTTGGACCCTGACCCCGCGGATCTGCGTGAGGGGTGGCACCGAATTTCAGAAATGTGGCAAATCCCTGTGTTTTTGGACCCTGACCCCGCGGATCTGCGTGAGGGGTGGCACCGAATTTCAGAAATGTGGCAAATCCCTGTGTTTTTGGACCCTGACCCCGCGGATCTGCGTGAGGGGTGGCACCGAATTTCAGAAATGTGGCAAATCCCTGTGTTTTTGGACCCTGACCCCGCGGATCTGCGTGAGGGGTGGCACCGAATTTCAGAAATGTGGCAAATCCCATGTGTTTTTGGACCCTGACCCCGCGGATCTGCGTGAGGGGTGGCACCGAATTTCAGAAATGTGGCAAATCCCTGTGTTTTTGGACCCTGACCCCGCGGATCTGCGTGAGGGGTGGCACCGAATTTCAGAAATGTGGCAAATCCCATGTGTTTTTGGACCCTGACCCCGCGGATCTGCGTGAGGGGTGGCACCGAATTTCAGAAATGTGGCAAATCCCTATGTGTTTTTGGACCCTGACCCCGCGGATCTGCGTGAGGGGTGGCACCGAATTTCAGAAATGTGGCAAATCCCCTGTGTTTTTGGACCCTGACCCCGCGGATCTGCGTGAGGGGTGGACACCGAATTTCAGAAATGTGGCAAATCCCATGTGTTTTTGGACCCTGACCCCGCGGATCTGCGTGAGGGGTGGCACCGAATTTCAGAAATGTAGTAAATCCCCTGTGTTTTTGGACCCTGACCCCGCGGATCTGCGTGAGGGGTGGCGATGTCGAGCCCCCCCCAGCAATTCAGACAACGCGCCCAGGGGACGCTAAAAAGCCGGTTTGGGCCTCCCCCCACTCGCGCGGTCAATCAACTAGTTACAGTAACCAGCAAGAAGGAGAACAATCAACTAGTTACAGTAACCAGCAAGAAGCAGAACTGTAACACTGGAAACTACAAGCTACAACTGACACAGGAAACTGCGAACCTCGCGCCTACAGCCTGGTGGCCCCACAAGGGGGCCGGCGGATATTGCATCGTTTCCTACGCTACTCGGATCCAATATACCATGTGCTTTCTTTATCTAACGACCTTCGACCCAACCCGCCACCGTGCTTGGGTTGTGGTCATAGGCCTCTAGGATGTTCGTTGGGGTGTCGTCTCCTGGGGGTCCTCGGATTTTGTCCGTTCGTGTTCCCCCTCTTAGGCCCTTCTTGGGGCTGTCTTTGGGCCCTTTGGGGCCATCTTGGGCGCCTCTGGGGCCGTCCTTGAGCTCTCTTGGGCCGTGTTAGGGCTCTCATGTTGGCCTCTTGGGCCGTCTGGGGGCGGTCCTGGGGGCCTATTGGGCCGTCTTGGAGCGTCGGGAGCTCGAGAAGTCGAGGACCCTCAAATCATCGGAAAAAAACCCATGGAAAATCAATGACGTTGGCTTCCTGGGGCCCTCCTGGGAAGGCTCTCGAGGCGTCTCGGAGGCCTCTTGGATTGTTTTGGGCTCATCTTGGACCGTCTTGAGAGCCTCTTGGGGCTCTCTTGGCCCGTCGTGGGGCCTCGTTGGGTCCGAACAAGTCATGCGACAAGATGCCCCAGTGCCCAGAGGGCACGCGACAAGCCCCGCCGATTTTGGCAATTTGGGGTTCGGGCTCCTAAGAGATTCTTCAGGCTTGAGGACTGAGGCTTCAAGGATTAGGCGACTGACCTGACGACGCGCCCACTCCGTGCCCGGCGTCACGGTGGCGGACACTCTGCTCTTTTCTGGTATCCTCCTTGCCCTGCTCCAATGCGTGATATGTTGCAGCACTCTAACAGTGTCCTCTGTGGTACCCTACTCTGCCCTGCTCCATTCCGGTTGCTCTAAATCGTCACACCCCACCGCACTCTGCTCGCCTCTGCTCTGATCTTCCCCTCTCCAGCCGACTCCTGCTCCACTCTCCTACGCATGCCCCCCTCTGCCCCTCTCTGCTCGCCCCTGCCCTACCCCCCCGTTTGTCAGGAGGGGAAAAAAAACACAGACACAATTGATCGTCGATTCCCCCGAAAATATGGGAAACTATGGGAAGTGGGGGGGGGGAAGACAGAAACCCAGAACATCTGGGAAAGTATGGGGAATGCTTTTATTTGTGTGTATTTAGGGAACCCAGAAAACATGGGAAAATATGGGGAACCCAGAAAATATGGGAAAATACTGGAAAATATGGGGAATCCCAGGGCCCCTTCAGTGTGCCCCCCTCCACCTCCGCAGCCGTTTTGGCTGCAGCCTCGACCTCCGCCCGAGAGGCCCCGCCGCCCCGCCCCGCCCCCCCGCCCCCTCCCGCGGGCGCCACGGCTCGGCCGCGAGGCCCCGCGGGCCCGGCGAGGCTCCGGCGTGCCTTCCGCTGCAGCCGCCACGGCCCCACGACCTCCGAGGTCGCGGCTTTGGTGCTCCAGCGCGCAGGGCGTCTCCCAGCGGGGGCCGCACGTGAACCCTACCCCAGATTTCGTAATAACAGGGAGGGGGTCTGGACCCTCCAAGACAAGCCATTTCAGACCTCCCCCGTGGGAGAACCCTCCAAAACATCGTCCCCAGACCCCCCCGGGCCCTCCAAGATAGCCTGGAAGAGAGCCCCCTCCGAAATGAGACCCCCCTCCCTTTATTACGAAATCTGGAGTACCCCTACCCCCCACCGATTTGGGGGGTAGGGGGGTAGGGGCAGGGTTCACATGTGGCCCCCCATCCTAAGAGGGGCGTCGCCCTCGGTGGGGCCGACGGTGAACTGGCATCTGCTCCTCGGCGGGAGCCAGCGGAAGTGGAGCGAGGGCGGTTCCGTCGTCGGAAGCCCGGCGGCAGCCTTGCGGAGGTACGAGTTGCCCTTCCCGAGAGGTGCACATTTGTTCGGATCGCGAGTTTTATAATGAGGATCCCTGCGCTTCAAGCTTCGGGGCTTGTTCGAAGAAGACTCGTTTCGCCCCAGACGGCTGCGGCCACATCATGCTAGATGCGAGGCGATGCTTGACATGGTCATGCAAATGCGCATGCAGGCGACGACAAAAGCTGGCCTTCGGGTCCGAGAGGTGCACAATTTTTCGGGTTCAGGGTTTTGGAGCGATCTACGTGACCCCTAGAGCTCTGACACCCTTCCTGGCGACTCTTTCTTCGGCCTGGATGGTTCTCGAGGGTCCCGAAAAGGCGTGGTGACCACACCGCGTGGT